AAGTGAAAGAAATTCTTTATTTGGAGTTATTCTTTGAATGTTTTCAATTGGGGAAACATTCAGTTATTATTCCATAGTCATCCCTATACTACCCACAATGTGTTGTGGAAAAAGGCAGGTAGAGCAGGCCTACAGATCTTCCTTACTAGCCAAATGAGCTCCACATTTTGATGCAAATAATATACTTTGTGTTTATATTCTATTACATAAGGTAAACTTGAGTTTTCAAAACATAAGCGAAGACTGAATATGAAAGTTAGAGAATGCCCATAATTTATGGACAATGCAAGATCAGAAAGATACTATAACATACTTGTCATTATCCTTGTATGATGAGTATTCTGTGCGTGTTGTACATACTTTTTAATATTACATTGATTCAATATGATATACAAATTGAGAATTATTTAAATAGTTCTGAGTTCTTTATATGCTTATGGTAATGGTAAGGGTTGCCGTTTCAATTTCTAAAGATAAAACTATTGGTTCACAATTGCTCAGTTCATGTGCAAATTACTCCTCTGATGTGGTTTTACTGTGTGTTTCTCTGAGACACATAGTTTGTAAATTGGTTTGCTACCACATTGTACCTAAATGTAATTTTATTTTCCTCATTTATTTAAAGACATTGAACTTTTAAAACTTTATCTCATAAGAGATTTTAATTTTGATTTTTTTAAGTTTGTTACTATGATGACTTAATCAGAGCTTTTCAAAATGACAAGAAAAGGCAATTTCTGGGAATGTTGAGTGTGCTTTTGAAAATGTTTATTTTCTGTTGCTTAAGATGGAGCCCTCCTGGTAGCAGTTTGTCGTGGTAAAGTGAGTGAGGGTCTGGATTTCTCAGATGACAATGCCCGTGCTGTCATAACAATCGGAATTCCTTTTCCAAATGTGAAAGATCTTCAGGTAGGCCTTCAAAGTCTTAAGAAATTTTATCATAGAAGTTGTTGATTTTGTGTTAACTATACATTTTTCTTGTATCTTCAGGTATTTTACTTTAATTTTATAGTGACTCAATGAGTGAGAAAGGTTTAGTAGATACCGGTTTATTTTATTTGTCTTTTCAAATTATAAGAGAAAGTTTATTTAGGAAGTTAGCGAGGTATTAGAAATGAGCCAGCTGGGCTGTGTAGGCTCAGGAACCAAGTTACAGAAGCAAAAGAAGGACCCTTGGAGCTTAGGAGAGAGAAGTAACTGGTGGTGGTGATGGGGTGGGGGGAAGTGGGGTGGGGTGGCGATAAGAAGAAGGGGAATGGAAAGGCATGGGCGTGTTCTTGAGAGGGAGAGTGCGCCTATTATATTTTTAACTTATACTATTTATTGTTTAACAGAGTGATTTTCCAAGTGTGGTTCCAGGTCAGGAACATCAGTATCACCTAGGAACTTGATAGAAATACATATTCTCAGACTCCATCCAGACCTATGGAAGTAGAGTCCAGCAGTTTGCATTCTGTGAAGCTGTTAGCCACAGACTAACAGGGGTCCCCTGTAGTTGTGGGGCCCTTTTTCTACCTGGCTCCTTTCTTTCCAATGCCGTGCCCTGCCCTGCAGATTGCAGTGATTTTAGCTGCCCAAATTCTTCTCTCTTCCACCTCAGCTCAGCAGGACCCTGTATTCTGCCTGTTCAGTGCTCTGTGCTGCTGTCAGGAAGTTTTACTCAGGAAGGGAGCTGAGAATCATGGAGTTCACCTAATGCAGCCGTGGACAAACTACGGCCCGCGGGCCGGATTCGGCCCACAGAGCCGAAAGAGCGGAGGGTTCTCTTGTTCTCCCCTCCGCTCCTTCACCAGCAGCAGTGTTAACATGTATTAGTTCACACAAACACTCCATCCATGCTTTTGTTCTGGCCCTCCGGTCCAGTTTAAGAACCCATTGTGGCCCTTGAGTCAAAAAGTTTGCCCACCCCTGAAATGGATTTCCCTTATCTCTGAGATTAGTCATGTGTTGCCTGGTGTCTACTCCTTGAAAGCAGTTGCTTTATCTGTTATGTCCAGTTTTACAGTCACTTACAGTGGGAGGGATATTCCTAAACCAGTTATTCTGGTCTTGGCCAAAAACAGGAGTTTTGCTTCATTATCACTGATTGTTTGCTAAACATTATATTTGAAAAATTACTCGTAGCAATAATTTGAAGCCAAAGATGATGTTATCTTCCATCGAGAAGAATTTTTATTTATTTTCTACAGGCATTTGAAGATGCTAGCAATCTGACACCAAGAATTGAGGTTTTCTGACCACTGAGCTGATTGCATTGAGTATAATTCATATCTTTCCTCCCAGAGCACAACTGTTTAGGGTCTCATACCAAAGCAGAAATTCTTTCTCCAGGCAGTTATCTTCTTTACTGTTAATATTTTACTAGACACTGTGAATTATATAATATTTACAGTAATAAATGATATTTCTCTGGTTAGTTTCTACTCTTCCCTAACCTCTGGAGCTCCTCAAAATTTCTGAAAGTCCATAAGGGATATCTGATCCTTCCCGCCTACAGTAACTGGTGCCTTCCAGTACCTTTCTCCAGCTACCAGTGCTACCATTGAGAATGCTGATGACCATGCCTAGGGCTCCTGTTCTAAAATGGCCAATGATGCCTCTGGCTATTGCTACTGATGAAACAGTTGCCATCCACTCGGGGAAATTGTTGTGTTCACCATCAACAGCATTAGTGCTAAAGCTGAGTTGCTGCTGATGGCACTGCTGTTGGCAGTGGTATTGTCTCTTTTTTATGTCTTATCATTTTACCTATATTATTGCACTAATACTGCTTTGTTAAAGTGGAAAGAGTATTTTTCCCCTTCTTTCTGAACCACATGTTCTTCCAGTGTCTTAAATAAGTACCCCCCGCCCCCCCCCCCCCAAAAAAAAAACCTAGCTTTTTAAATTGTTGCTTGAAATCTTTTCTCTCTTTTTGGACTTATATATGAGTTTTTCAGAGCTGGGGAAAAAAACACCTTTATGGCTAATAATAGTTTGTACTAAATACCACGTAACAGATACAAAAGGGTTCACATCCAACTCAATGTATGTCTGAGAAGAGAAATAAATGGTATAGAGGGTAGTGATCAAAAGGACTTTAGCATTTTCTGTAATACTTGTTTGTTTTAGTAAAAAGCAAGCTTCAAGAAAATATAGTGAGAATACAGGTGTTTATATGTTATTCTTTCAACACTCTTAAAATTAAATAAAATGTTACTTGTGAAGAAAAAAATTATATTAACTTCTATTTTCTCTACCCTCACTTCTAACAACTATGATTCTGGGCATTGTTTTATGCCAATTTGGGTTTTTAATGCTCTATTTTTCTTACAACAAGTTCTTCCCAGGCAGCATTTCAGTCTGTCATACAAAAAAAAAAAAAAAAAAAAAAAAAAAAAAAGATAGACACCCTGTAGTCTGCTCTGACATTCTTCAGTAATATCCTCCTTGTAGTTCTACTTAACTGAATCCTAGTGGCTCTAGTTGTACAAAATAGCAGAATAACAGAAGACAATGAGGTCTGGGTAGGGAGGAGGAGATTTGTTCTAAAGAAGTTGACCTAGTTTGCCTTGTATCCCTAGTGGTTCCTAGAAGGGCCAAATGGGATAGACCTAAGAGTAATCCAAGTTGTAGGAATAAGGGAAATTCTTTATTGGCAATACTAGATGTAAGGGAAGTGTATTTCTTTTTGTCATATGTCTGGATCAGTTCTTGTGTAACAAACAATTCTAAAACTCTGACCTAAAACAACAATCATTTATTATGATACACACATGTATGGTGGGGTGGGGTGGCTGGGCAATAGATGATCTAGGCTGGGCATGCTGGGCAATTTCACTTGGGCTTAGTCACCCTGCTGTGGTTTGACCAATGTAGGTTGGGCTTGACTGAGTAAGGACTGTTTTACATATCTATCTCATTTTTCATGGACCGACAGACTAGCCAAAACATGCTATCATTGCAATGGCAGGGGTACAAGAGGGCAGGCTTGACTGTGTAAGTACTTCCACATTTTCTAACCTTTTGCCCATAGCATGTCATATGCCCAAGCCCAAAGTCAGCAGCATGGGGGGCAATAGATTTAGAATTAAGACTTCAAAAAGGAATCCTGGCATTTTTTTTTTTTTTTTACAATTAAAGGATATTTATAAGGCATCCATCCAAAAGACTGATGTTTATAAACTTTAACAGTATAGGTATGCAAGTTTTCTAATTAAGAAGGTCTATTATCATTTGGAAATACCAGCAGTTAATTCCTGAAATATCTGAAATATTAATATCTGAATATATCAGAGCATCATTATAAATGGTTTCTTAAAATTCATAAATGACCAAACAAGTTAAAAATATTTATTTGTACTGTTATGGATATAAAAGATATTCTGAAATTTTAACCAGTTAACTGCCATAAGCATCTATAGATGCAGGCAGTGGACCTTTTTTAATTAAATTCAAAATATCGTGGCAGTTTTAATGAATTCACTTTATCTATTTTTGTTGTTGTTTGTGCTGTTGGTGACATACTTAGAAAACCATTGCCAAATACAAGGCCATGCCCCTAATGTTTTCTTCAAAGAGTTTCATATAGGCTTAGCTCTTAAATTTATTTATTTATTCCTAAAGGTTTTAGTGGTTTTTAGAGAAAGAGGAAGGAAGAGGGAGGGAGAGAGAAAAACATTGATTGGCTGCCTCCTGCATGCTTAGTACCACCCGACTGGGTGTCGAGCCCACAACCTGGGCATATGCTGTAACCAGGAATCAAACTGGCAACCTTTCATTACATGGTACAGTGCCCAACCAACTGAGCCAAACTGACCAGGGCAAATGATTTCCTGAAATGGCTTTTCCAAAACTAACACCGTGCTTCAAATTACTGGACCACAAATTAGGACTTTATTATTTTCTTTTGCATTAATACTCAGTCTATCATGCAAGAATAAGTAAAAGTTACTTATAAATGCAAACCTTAAATATTCTATCTGTGGAAACGAAAAAATCTATTTTTGCATTATTTTCTATATTGTTTGATTTGAATTTTTATTTTACATGTCATCCTTGGGCAGGAGCCATACTAATCTCTGTATTGTTCTAATTTTAGTGTATGTGCTGCTGAAGCGAGCGCTGAATTGTTATTTTAAAAAGTTCAGATCAGTGTCTGAGTTAGAAAAGTCATTTGAGTGGGGGGAAAAAAAGGCAGTGACATTAATTTTATGATACTAAATATTTTCCTTAAATTGAGGCACAGATTATGGAAGTAAAAATTAAAATGCAGTTTAAAATACTAACTTAAGACTTTTGTAGTCTCAATTGCAGAGTTTGGCTTTTAGAGAAGCAGGAAAATGTATGTTAGAGCCAAAAATATGACTTCTTTGGCTGTGACCAGGATTTCCTTTTCCCACCTTGGGGACTAGAAAGTAGTGGTAAGAAAATTTCATTTTGGAGCCAAGTGTGACTTGTTTAGTTTGTCATAATTTATTGCATATACCTCAGGGACCTGAAAATAAAGAAACCCACTATGAAATGTTGATAATAGGCCACTCTGAAGGGCAAGCAGTAAGTAACTTTCCCAGTGAGGATTTTTTCACTTCCACCTTTCCAGATGCTTCTGATCATTCTATATGGACATACTTAACTGTGTAATAGTTAAGAAGAAACCTTTCTGTGCACTAAACCAAAGTATTTGAGGAGCAGAAAAGTGAACCAAGGCTTTTGCATGATCAGATGTTGGTGGAAAAGTATAACTGAAAGAAAAGATGTTTTCTTTTAACGCAGTTAAGTCACAGTATAATGGATATCTAAAGCAAATCCTTTGGCCAAATAGTATGATCTAAAAACTGCAAAAGCCTTCAGCTTTATAATGCAGGCATCCACATCTCAAGTTGATGGCATGGTCTAATTTCTGAGACATTATAAAGTACAATACTTAGGTTTTTTTTTTTTAAAACAAGTCAATATTCTTTTAAAAAATATGTTTTTATTGCTTTCAGAGATGAAGAGAACAAGAGAGAGAAATACCAGTAGAAAATCAATGATGAGAGAGAATCATTGATCCACAGCCTCCTGCACACTGCTTACTAGGAATCGAGCACACAACCCGGGCATTATGGCTTGACCGGGAATCAAACTGTGACCTCCGGGTTCATGGGTTGACGTACACTGGCCAGGCTCTACTTAGATTTTTAAACTTGCATTTTATTTGTATTCCTTAGCACAGTTTAGTTTAAGAGTACATAGAAATATTCTCCTTTCATGAGTATTGTGCCTTTACTCCTCTGAGAAAAAATTTATAAAACCATGGCATAAGGCAAAAAATTTTTATACTTTAAAGATGTTCAAGTGGCATGTTAAATATTTATAATTAGCTTAATAAAATTTGATGTCAATATCAGAAGTTACAATTATTAAAATTAAGATAAATAAGATAAATAAATTTTATATTTGTGTATTATTTTTCTTTAGTAATATATGTTGTATGTTGAGTTACCAAAATAACTTCACTTAGAAACTATTTACAGTTTAGATAGTGACTGGTTAGTTATCTTAGTATTGGCATATAATAACCATTTATTTATTTAACAAACTTGTACTAAGCACCTAATTTGTACTTAACATAGTAGGTGCAAAATGAACAAGATGCTATCTCTGTACTAGTGATGTCTGTAATTTAGTAAAGGACTCGAATGTGTAACAGGATGTTTTGGTGGGATAAGATATGGGTGTTTGGTTGCTTAGAGAAAGAGAGGTTGAACAACACCTTCCACTTTCATGCAAATATTCATTTACTTTCACTGATTTGCCTAAAATAGATGGAGGAACCAGAGAGATGAGATATGAATCTTAAATCTTGTCTACATTGAGTTTCAAACATACAAACATTTGATAAAGTGGAATGAAAGGCCAGATTACAAAACTATTCAGATTATTAAGACTTTATTAAGACTTTTCAGAATAACAATACAACTGTTTTCTTTGATTTTTTTTTTATTATTAGAAAGAGAGGGAGGGAGAGAGAGAGAGAGAGAGAGAGAGAGAAACATCAATCAGTTGCCCCCCGACCAGGGGTCGTACCTGCAACCTTTTGTTGTACAGGACAGCACTCTAACCAACTGAGCCACCCAGCCAACAACTGTTTTTTTAATATCTGGCTAGAGTACTAATAGCTAGACTCTGGTGACATAGTGATACACTACACAGATTATAGCCCCTTGTCTCATGGAGCTTACAGTCTAGTGAAGAATATTAATATTAAAGCAATGAAGAAACAGTTATTTATAGTTGTCATGAGGACTGTAAGAAAAAGTCAGGAATTGTGAGAATTTATAACAGGTTCCTGACCTAATTTTGAGGGGTAAAGAAAGACTTCCTGAGGAAAAAAGTTATGTAGGTGCAAAGAATGGATAAGAGTATTCACTGCAGAGAGAACAGCGTGTGCTAAGGCCCTAAGGTTTGAAAGAAGATAGCGGTTTCCAGGAATTAAAAGAAGCTGAGGGTCCTAGCTGGTTTGGCTCAGTGGATAGAGCCTCAGCCTGCAGACCAAAGGGTCCTGGGTTCGATTCCAATAAAGGGCACATACCTTGATTGCAGTCTCTTCTCTGGCCCAGGCCCTGGTCGGGGCTCATGCAGGAGGCAACCAATCGATGTGTTTCTCTCACATCGATGTTTCTCTCTGTCTTTCCCTCTCTCTTCTCCTCTCCCTAAAAATCAATGGAAAATATCCTCGGTTGAGGATTAACAACAACAACAAAATATATTCTTGGGTGAGGATTAACCAAAAAACAAAAACAAAAAAAAGAAGCTGAGGTAGAGAGTGAGTTTGGGGAGAATGGCATGTGAGTAGAGGCTGAGAGAGATATTAAGGAGTCAGATCAGTTAGGGCTCTGTACACCATTTTAAGGATTTGAGACTTTATCGTAAGTTGTGGGAAACTATCCAGGAATAGAGCTTGAGGTCAGTGTGAGGTCAGGTGTTCTTATAGTGTAGCATCTGATACAGAAACCCACTTGGACCTAGCCTAAATAATATGTGGTTACCCGGGGGGAGTAGTAAATTTATGTATTTCTTTTGAGCCACTTTTATAATTGTGTTAATCTTGAGTGTTTTAGCATTCGTTTATTTATTCATTTAACAGACTTGTACTAAGCGCCTAATTTGTACTTAACATAGTAAGTGCAAAACTGAAGAAGATGCTGTCTCTGTACTGGTGATGTCTATAATTTAGTAAAGGACCGGAACCTGTAACAGGTTCATGGATAAACTTAAAGGGGTGTAAATACTTAGGAGTCCAGAAACATGCTGTTGAAAGTGTTGAAAACATTTAAGCCAAATCACAGATATGGGAGAAAAACCTGTCACCGCTGAAGGTCCAGAATGAGTTTATCTTCAATTATGAAATCCTTTTTTTCCCTCTCAGAAAACTTTCTTTTCCCAGCTTTATTTTTTAAATTGGTGTAGCCAATAGTATTATTAAAGCAGGGTTAAGTATATTTTGAAATTCCAAAATTAAAATCTAATTTAAAACTAAGTATGCCATGTAAGTAGATAATTTTTAATTTTCCTTGAACAGTGAAGAATGAGAATAGCTAAATCCATTATTCCTACCCCTCTTGAAATACAAACATAAAAACACAAAATTAATGAATTGCTGAGGTGTTTTTAAATTAAACATTTTTTTCCATATATCTTAAATGTTTTAGGTTCATGGGAGGAAACATTTAAAGTCACAAAATTTTAGACACATGCCATATGATTTAACTTATGTGTAAAATATAAAGAACAAAATAAATGAACAAACAAAACAGAAACAGACTCATAGATACAGAGAACAGACTGATGGTTATCAGAAGGGAGGGAGTTTGGAGGGACTGGGTGAAGAAGGTAAAGGGATTAAGAAGTACAAATTGATATTTACCAAAGAGTCATAGAAATATAAAGTACAGCGTAGGGAATGTAGTCAGTAATATTGTTATAACTATATGCCAGGTGGGTGCTTGAGATATTGGGGGATCGCTTTGTAAAGGATATGATTGCCTAACCACTATGCTGTACACCTGAAACTAATACAAAATTGTATTAACTGTAAACTGTAATTTCTCTCAACACTCATGTCATTGTATTTGCTTAGGGAAAAAGCCATGTCTGAATATAGATAGCTACAAGTTACACCTGTGGATAACTAATAAAGCCAACAAAACCTTTGGTTTTTGAAAAATTCTGCAGTTATTTTCTTGTGCTCATCTTATTTTTTGGAAAGAGCAAGAACTTTGTTGGCCTTACTTGTATTTTACTTTTGCTCTTATAATAGGTGGAAGGCTTTAAAAGTGAAATTATCACACTTCAATTATAAGGTTGACTGACGCTTAACTACTTCCGCTGGCCCAGAGCACTGTTTGGTGTTTATAACATGTCTTTCTTGTTTTCATGAAGATTAAAGGTTTGATACCTTGGGAATGAGTTCAGTTTATGCGTTCTAACTCTGGGTCAAATAGCCCCAGTGTTCCAGGGAATATAATAAGCTACCCAACTTATTTTCCTATAGCATCAAAATTTCCAGATGTGTTGCTTAAAATTACTTTATAGCAGGGTTTTTCAAGATTGGCACAAATGACAGTTGGGGCAGGATAATTGTTTGCTGTGAGTGATGTCTTGTATATTGTAGGATGTTTCAATGCCAGTAGCAAACCCTTCTTCTCCCACCAATTGTGACAACGAAAATGTCTCTAGACATTGCCACGCCAATATCTTCTGGTTGAATGCCATTGTGTATGTCATGAATTAAAAGTAACAACCTACTATTATTTAAAAAATATTTTTATCAAGTTGAAAAAAGTCCAATAAAGCTTTTACTGAGAGCCTAATTTATAACTAAATACAGTAATAGTCTTAGGGCAACAGTCCTTGGCTTCTACCCTACTCCCAGCCCCTGCTTCTTTTAGCTGTTATATCTGGTATTTTTATCTCTACATTTTATCTTTATTTAATCAGTTTTAGGTATTAATTAGTTATTTCCTATATGAGATAAGAATTTAGCTTACTTTACCTTTCTCTTCCTTTATCCTCCCATATAATTATATCAAATGTTTTAAAATTCATAACCAATATACATTATCATGACTCTGAAAATAT